GCAGCACTATGTGCTGCAAGTGCAGCAGCACCAAACAAGAAAACGGCAGCAACTAACCAGCAGCAGCAGCTGCTGCTGCTGCTGCTGCTGCTGCTGCTGTTGCTGCTGCTGCTGTGTGTTAAGACAGCAGCTTCATAGGGGGGAGGTTTTGTCTCCCCTTCCTTCCATCCCACTCGATGGTGCTGCTGCTGCTGCTGCTGCTGTTACTGCTGCTGCTGCTGCTGCTCTTGCTGCTGCTGCTGCTGCTGCTGCTGCTGCTGAGAAGAGAGAGGCGGAGAGAGATCTCGCTCTGCTAGGGAGGCCTCGTGGAGGCCGTCGAGGACCCCAACCATCCCCTTTGCTGTCTCCTCGTGCTGCAGCAGCACTTGCTGCTGCAGCAGCACCTGCTGCTGCAGCAGCAACTGCTGCTGCTGCTGCTGCTGCTGCTGCTGCTGCTGCTGATGATGAAGAGAATCCGGAGAAGGACTGGCTTGGCTAGGAGGGCTGTTGCTGCTGTTGCTGCGAGGCGCTTCTACCCACTGCAGCAGCTGCAGCACATCTTGCTGCTGCTGCTGCTGCAGCAGTTGCTGCTGCTGCTGCTGCAACACCTCTTGCTGCTGCTGCTGCTGCTGCTGCTGCTGCTTCGTTGCCGGTCCCTCGCCCCCAGACAGCTCAGCTGGCTGCTGTTTGTTTGGTTGCTGCTGCTGTTGCTGCTGCTGCTGCTGCTGTAGCGGGAGAAGCCTTTCTGCTGCTGCTGCTTCTGCTGCAGCGGAACTAGCAGCAGCAGCAGCAGCAGCAGCAGCAGGTAGTACCCTGACATGAGGGGAGAGAACAAGCGTAGCAGCAGCAGCAGCAACTAAGCAGCAGCAGCTAAAGAAGCTAGATATTTTGGCGGTGCAGCAAGGGTCTGAGTTGCATGCATGTATTTGAATATAGTGCAGCAGCAGGAGAGCAGCAGCAGCAGCAATTTTGCTGCAGAAGAAAGCAGCAGCAGCAGCAGCAGCTCTTGCTGCTGTATGATTGGCTTGTAAAGGCAAAAAGACAGAAGACAAACAAATAATAAAGTGGGGCGATGTATGCATCCATTCGTATAGAAGTGCAGCAGAGACAGAAGAAGAGAGAGGAGGAGCAGCAGGGAACAAAGAGGAGACAGCAGCAAGAGAAAGCCCCACACTAAAGGAGACAAATGCTGCTGCTGTGCATGCAAGCAGCTGCAGCGGCTGAGGAGAGAAATATCGACCCATAAAAAAAGGAAACAGAGACAGCAGCAGTCCCCCACTTAGTTTATATATTATTACGTGCTGCAGTTCTGCTGCTGCTGCTGCTATTTTTGCTGCTGCTGCTGCTGCTGCTGCTGCAGTACTACCACCTGCTGCTATCGATGCTGCTGCTGCTGCTGCTGCTGCTGCTGCTCCTTTCTCTATCACTGCTGCATCCAGCAGCAGCAAACGATAAACACCACGCCCATACACTGCAGCAGCAATTAGTGCAGCAGGAAGACAAACACCAGCAGCAGCACGAGGCAGCAGCAGCAGCAGCTCCTCGTAGCACCGGCTGCTTGCTGCTAGACACCGACCCTCACCTAAACTATACCACAGCAACTCAAGCAGCTGCTGCTGCTGCTTCTCCTGCTCCTGCTGCTGCTGCTGCTCGTCCTGCTGCTGCTCCTGCTGCTCCTGCTGCTGCTGCTGCTGCTGCTGCTGCTGCTGAGGATGCGCTGCATGCGGCAGCAAAGGCCCCAGAAGAGAAGACAGAGGAGACGCAGACACAGAGTCGCCTCCATGGCTCTCTTCTGCTGCTGCTGCTGCTGCTGCTGCTGCTGTCTCTGTTGCTGCTGCTGCTGCTGCTGTTTCTTCTGTCTCAGGCTGCAGCAGCAACGGCTGCAGCAGACCACTGGTCTGCTGCGGGTACCGGGGGCCCCAAGCCGAAGGAGACACTTTTGTCTTCTGCTGCTGCTGCTTCTGCTGCTGCTGCTGCTGCTGCTGCTGCTGCTGCTGCTGCGGCTGCTGTACCTGGTATTGCGTAAACTCTAGGGGGAGTGTCTCCGTCCGCTGCGCTGCTGCTGCTGCTGCTGCTGCTGCTGTTGCTGCTGTTGCTGCTGCTGCTGTTGCTGGACCTCGGCAGCTTCTTGCTGCTGCAAATGGCCATGCACTGCTGCTGCTGCTGCTGCTGCTGCTGCTGCTGCTGATGCTGCTGATGCTGCTGTTTGCGCTGCTATCGGAGAGAGCGTTGGTCTCACTGTCGCTGCTGCCGCTGGCGTTGCTGCTGCTGCTGCTGCTGCTGTTGCTGCTGCTGCTGTTGCTGCTGCTTCTGCTGAAACGCAGAGGACCCCTCAGGCGCGCAGCTTGCTGCTGCTTCCTCCCCCCAGACCGCAGCAGCGGTGCTGCTGCAGCAGCAGCAACAGAGAAAGCAGCATCCTCGTCTTCGGTGCTGCTGGTTTGCTGCTTGCTGCTGCCTGCTGCTGCTGCTGCTGCTGCTGCTAGAGGAGAAAGAAGTGCAGCAGCAGGAGACGGCCTCTTACTACGCCACGCGCTGCTCCTGCTGCTGCGCTCTTCTCTCTGTCTGCTGCTGCTGGACTGCTGCAAGCATCATTGTCTGTGTGTGTATGAGAATGGGGTTTTTGCTGTTGCTCTAGNCTGCTGCTGGACTGCTGCAAGCATCATTGTCTGTGTGTGTATGAGAATGGGGTTTTTGCTGTTGCTCTAGCAGCTGCTGCTGCTGCTCTTGCTGCTGCTGCTGCTGCTGTTGCTGCTGCTGCTGCTGCTGCTGCTGCAGCAGAAGCTGCAGCTGCAGCAGCGGGATCTCTCCTCTGTCTGCTAGCTTGCGGTGTATACGCAGCAGCGTCCTGAGCTTCTGCCGGACAACGAAGGGGTTCTCGCTGCTGCAGCAGCAGCAGCAGCGCAGCAGCAGCAGCGACAGCAAAGCGAAGAGACTAGACAGCAGCAAGCAGCAGCAGAAGACAATGGGGGGGCCCCCCCATATGTCTCCTCGCAGCAGCAGATAAGCAACAAAGTGCAGCAGCAACCGTGCTGCTGCTTCTGTCGTCAGCAGCAGCACGAAGGGCCTAACTGCTGCCCAGGAGAAATGTGGGGTGGGGAGCGAGGATCCTCTGCTGCTGCCTCTTGCTGCTGCTGCTGCTGCTGCTGCTGCTGTTGCTGCTGCTGCTGCTGCTGCTGCTGATGCTGATGATGATGGTGATGACCCCGCAGCAGAACGATTCCAGGATGGGTGCAGCAGCAAATCCTCCTCTTCCTGCTGCTGCTGCTGCAGCAGCAGCAGCTGCTGCTGCTGCTGCTGCTGCTGCTTCTGTCTCCGGTGTCTCCTCTTCCGCCGTCTCCTTTCAGCTCCCTTCCCCCCACCCCTCTCAGCAGCAGCAGCAGCAGCAGCAGCAGCAGCAGCA